GGGGAGGAGGGGCTGGTAGCAGCGAGCAACAGACGACATACTGGGAAGCAAACATGAGCAAGAGTCCCTTTATTCATCATGTTTTCATTTTCCTTGAACAATCTCTTTCAGAAAAGAAAAGAAGATTCTGTATTGACCCTTTCAACCGTGACGAACAAGACAGCACACAACGAGCAGAGAACCGCCCGCAGGAGGTACTAGAAGAAATGTAAAAGGGAAGCGCGAGGAGGTGGTACCAGAATGAAGTTAGAAACAAGAATCTTCTCTCTGGAAGAGAGAATGTTTTTTTTTTTTTTTTTTTTAAGAAATGGAAGAGAGAATGTTACACAAAAAGTGGGCGGGGGAAAGAAAGACAATCATTGCTTCCCATTCTGTCCACCGTTGCTGGCTGCCACCAGCTCTCTCTCTCTCTCTCTCTCTCTCTCTCTCTCTCTCTCTCTCTCTCACACACACACACACACACACACACACACAGAGTGTGTCTCTTTCTCAGGCCAATGTATTTTGCGAGGCAGAACGCTCTTGAGTCTCTTTCCACGGACTACGAATGTGCCACAGTCTTTCTGCTAGCCCAATAGTTTTTCGGTGGGTACTTTCATGCTATCTGTAAAATTTTCATATGCCCCTTTTAAAAAAACAAGGTTTTCGGTGGGTACATCGATCTACCGGTTTTGGCTGGGGGAGCCTGTTGATGGACCATGGGAACTTTCAATAAGTTGGGGGGTTGATGAAGCAAATATGGAGAGTGGGCGGAGAGGCTGGTGGAGCCAGCATGACGCACCGGGCAAAACCGGCACGGCCCCATTATGATAGCTATAGCTACTGTCAATCTGGGTCCCACCTATGGCACAGTTTCGTAACATTTACTGTTGTTGTAGTTGGACAAGGAGGAGCAGTCCATGGGTCTCCCCACACTACTCACTATCGTCCGCCCTCAGAAAGAAATGACTGAAAGCGAAAATGGGCCGCTGATTGTATTTATCAACGGCCGGCCGACCCCGGTCGGCCACTGCGTTACCCGGCGTGACTTCGAAACCAAGCCGGGAAAGGTACTGGCGGTTTCAAATGGAATGGAGAACCTGTCTTATACCAGAACGTGGAAAGATACACCTGATCCAGCGGCCTAGCGCAGTTGGTAAAGCAGGCAAGTGGCATTCAGGAGGTCTTGGGTTCAATCGCCATTGGCCTCATGCACCTTGCTGGGCAAGCTTGGCGCCCGCCACCTAGAGATATGCCATTGGTCCCCCCGATTGGCATAGACTGCTGATGTTCATAGGGGGAGGGGACCGGAGGGGAGGCACAGTGACTGGCCCATCAAAGAAGCTCGGTCCTGATACTACCGGCTGACCCCTGGCTGGTATTGCCCACCTGCTGTAGCAGGTATCGCACCTGCTGGTGGCCCACCTGCTGTAGCAGGTATCGCACCTGCTGGTGGGTGCAGCTCCTGCATGTTCCCTCGTTGGAGGCTTGAGCACGGATGTGGCTGCTACGGGGTTCCCCGTAATACTATAATGACAATAAAAAAAGGCCTGAAAGGCCGTCCTGTCCAGATTTGACAGGTAATTGAATTAGTTGGCCTGTCCAAAATTAGCCTTAAAAAAAAAAAAAAAAAAAAAGATACACCTGTGGTACGGTCGGACTCCACTTAGGGCCTCGTTCCACACCACTTGAGTACAAGAGCGAAGCGAAAAATCACCGTTCCACCCTCCCTTAGAGCCACCCGGTTTGGTTTCACTTTTTCGCATCCCAAGGGTGCACCCTTGAAACTCAAGGGTGACACAGCCAAAATCACCCTTGAATTCAAGTCACCTCCCGGAGGTTCCTTTCAAGGTCCAGCGGATACCGCCAGCACTTCAAGTGGGACCTTTTTTGGTTTTTCCTTTTTTTCCAGCAGGTGATCCTGGTCCAGGATTGGTCAAGCAGTGGAGTCCAGTTTCAAGTGCAGCCTGTTCAAGGGTTTCCGCAAGTGTACATGGAAGTGATGGAACCATAAATAGAGTAAGTGTAAATTAATCACAATTTCTTGTTTAGTGTGCACTTGAAACTCAAGTATTTTCAAGTGGTGTCGAACGAGGCTCTTACTCTTGACTCTCTAGAAGAAATCAAGGGTAGTTGAAGAGCTGTCAGACCCTCGAAATTCCCTACCTTGCTGCACTTGGTTTAGAACCACTGAGGGCGTTGCTGCAAGGCACGGGCAATGCAAAACGAAACGAGTGCATCTTCGTACAGAAAATGGATAGGTTCATAGGTTTGCTTAACTTTGCTAAAAATGATAGTGCATGTTGAGCTTTCATGGGCAAAGGCACTCGTTTCGTGTGAAGTGTGGCGAGGGTGGTGAGTTATAAAACTGCACGGTCATTCAACAAATTACATCATTCATAGTTGCACCATAATCAACACAAACAAGGACCTACTCATGCATGGACCACATCCACAGTGCGTAGACTCAAAGAGAAGAACCCATAATCCAGAAAATGAAGAAGAGGAAAAGAGAGCAAAAACACACACTGCAACTCGTCATCATATCCTCCCGAACGTGACTGTCGGCTTCAAATAACAAACATGAAGAACAGCCTATCGAGCCTGGACATAAGTGAGCATCATGCATAGCGTGCTGAAAGGTGCCAGGAGCATTGCAAAGACCAAAAGGCATCACCACAAACTCGTATAGACCGTACCTGGTCTGAAATGCGGTTTTGT